GGCGAAATCGCTATGTTGATGTTGCATTACCTGGCTGGAAAACGTCTGTGAACAACACTTTCAGCTCGGAGAACACATCAACAGAATCAGAATTATATTCTGTTCGTAAACGGAAGCAAAACATGTTCCAGTAATCCACAGTGAAGACTGAAAATGGATGTTTTACTCTCAATGAGTATTCATTTGCAGATAAGCGAAGCAAATACATTTGATAGACTATCTGTGGACGGGTACAAAATACAATGTCACAAACAAGGATNACCTACCCCCGGATAATCCTTCTAAGCAATCGACTTTGCCTCTCTGGACTGTTTAGTTGGGTGAAATAGATATCAGCCAAATTCTGGTTTATTGAGCGGGACTGGTTAATCAGTTGGTCACGGAACGCTGCCATATCTTCCACAGGTTCAGCCAAATCCATTTTGTTCAATAGAAGCAGATGTGGTCGTACCTAAAAGGCAATGGACTAACTATCATTAAACAAGCAAAGGTTGGGATAAAACTAAGGTATGTATCATGAAAGATTAACCTACAATAGAAATAAACCTGTAGAAAATGCGAGGAAAAGTTTTGGTACTTCGCATACGAGTTCAAATTTCTTTGACCGAGAAAAATTCGAAATCACGCTAATCGCTAAAAATATGAAACGAATGCACATGAAAGAAATGGACGATTTCGTTTTTTTGTATGTGAATTTTGTCATGTAATGAGTAAATGAAAGGTGAACTGAAGAGCTACGAAGCACCGTTGATGAGATTCAATCAGGCCGAAACAGCTGCCTGGTGCTTCTCAGCATTTTGGTTCATGATTTACTTGCTCTCTACATGACAAAATTCATGTCGAAATGGATTCAACTGATGAAAACCCGCGTGAATATACGAGTACGATTCGCTGCCCGGTGGTTAAGTAGATTGCAGGTCCACGTTCTACTTTTGAGGTTCAAGGTTCGATTCTCAGTTAGGTAGATGAATTTGCACAGTTGTCGAGACCCAAACAGGTCGAAACAGCTGTACGATGCTCATTGCAATCTCCGTTTGCGTCTCATTTGAAAGTAACTATAAGATGCGAATACGTTAAAACCATAGGGATTGAAAACGAAGATAAAAAAATACACTCCACATAAATTACAAACACACACCACAAGTTATTTGGACAGAATAGAACACGACAAAAAGGTAAATGTTATTGATATGTTGTCATATACTACAGTGTCTCTACTTACTTCATTAGAAGTTTTTAGATTCCAAAAGGGAGACACTAAACCGAAGTTTTGCTTGAATTCCTACACAACTCGTCTCTATGTCATATCTGTTGGTCCACATGTGGTTCTTTTTATCCTGAGCTAGTAATCTCGAAGGGAGTTTCGTGGATTAGACGATTGCTTAAAAAGCACAGATCTTATTCTTGTTTGCAGTAACAAAATGCATTCATCTGAGTTCTTTATGATAAATTTTTCGCAGAAAAGCTCAAGACCACCCAGCTCGATAGTGCTAATCCGCTAGACTTATACTATTTACGAAGAAAAATGGATAGCCGCTCACGACTGTTCACGTTAACCACTAATTTAATTTCGCTTATTTCATTTTAAATTAATGAATGGTTTATTTGCGGGGAGAACATCGCGGTCAAGTAGGAGACAATATGGCAGGTGTCCTGGAGATAGCGGGGGACTTGAACATACGATTAAAGAATCACTGCTTTGATACTGAAATTAAAGCCATCGTTGATCTAGCTTGACTGAACAGATGATTTTGAATAACGGGACAGGATTTATTGGTTCGAAGATTCGTGCAATTTATTGAATACCAAATCCCTTCGAAAGATCATTTTTTTACACAATGTGAATTACAGTAAAAGGGGAAATCCGACCTTGTGCGCAGCACGAGAAGCAATCTGGGTTATAAAAGGGGATCAACATAAAGAAGAAGTTA